TGCAATTGGGATACAATGAAATGTATCAACCAAGTCAGCGAGCCTGACCAACCGATCCTGTTAGTCGCCTCTTACGACAAGCATAGTCGCCTCTTACGCCAAGCATAGTCGCCTGTTACGGCAAGCATGGTATTCTATACTGGATCTTCACGGGTCTACAGCCCTTGGTATCTACATGTCAAGACGTTTGAGGTACCATTCGAGCGTGCTCTTTCTACATTAATTTCAAAGAGTGTCATATGATGCTTGCTAAAAATTGTTTGATCAGGGTTACAACATTCAAGTTTATTTGTTTGTTTGTTGTTTCACGCCACGCTCAGCAATATTCCAGCTGTATGATGGCGGTCTGTAAATAATTGAGCCTGAACCAGACAATCCAGTGATTGACATCATGACCATCGATCTACTAAATTGGGACACGATGACATGCATCAACCAAGTCAGTGAGCCTGACCACCAGATCTTGTTAGTCTCCTCTCACGACAAGCATAGTCACCTGTTACGGCAAGCATGGGTTGCTGAAGACCTATTCTACCCCGGATCTTCACAGGATTACAACATTCAAGGCCTTTGTAAAGCTTTCAAAATACTTTATGGTAGACATTTCCAAATTTGACCCATCAGTGACAAAAATTATGTCCGATGCAATTCCCTATTTTAACTTGTGCCATATGTTCCCATGTTTTTTCAGTTAACAGTTGACTTGCCTTTGCATGTGTTTGTGACAAGTACTACAAACACTTAGTATGACTATTTGATAGTGATTCAAAAACACATGCTTGTAATATACTGGGAATCTTACAATGGACTCCATTTTTAGAAAAGATTAACAATAATGGTAAGTTATTTCTTGTCTTTATTTAAAAAACCAGTAGCACCTTTTCACAAACATTTCAGATGATGTGGCCCACACTGCTACAAATCCTCTCAAGTGACTTCACTTTGTGAACAGTTCAAATCCATCACAACTAGGAGTCTTGTGGACACAGCTATCAGATCTAACATGACTAATTGGACGATAATCATTATTTACTTTTAACAAATGGAGCGTTATGAAAGAAACTACAGTCAACTCAGTAGCAATTATGAAGTAGGTGTGAACCCAGACAAACATAATTGTCATGACAATGACAGCCCACGGCCATGTTGTCACCTTCCAACATTAAATAGTCCTACACAAACATTCCAGCGATGAATTTAAATTCACCCTATGTATTTGAATGGTTGACTTTGTAAGCACCATATCCGAAACCTTCCATTACAAGAAACCTTTGTCTAAACATGACCTTGCCAGTGTTAACAGTTGGAATAATACCACCAATTTGGGAAGAAATAAGTAAAACTGTTTCACATAACTGTCCAATTTGCTGTGTGACTTGAATATCAATTGCTAGCTAGCTAGCTCTGACTACATAAAATTGAAATATTTAACATTTTCATTACTGCTATAGAATGGTGACCTTTAACTGTTCAAAATACCAGAACAGATTGGTTCCCAGTGATATGTAATATGTATACCTTGACTGCAGGAAACTGAGGTTATACACCATGTAAGACCATTTTTATATCTTACTCCACCAAAGATAGTTTTCAAAATCATATATATTGTTATACTGTTATATTTTAACTGACACCCAAATTATGTAACTGACTATTGTGCAAGGCTGTATGAGATGACATTTTGTTTATATGTAGTCAAGCAATTTTCTACAAATAATTAATCTGAGTCTGATATATGTTACAAAAAAGACATCTGCTCCATTTTCAGACCACAACAGTGGTCTGTAAATACTCGAGTCTGGACCAGACAATCCAGTGATTGACATCATGAGCATCGATCCATACAATTGGGATACAATGACATGCATCAACCAAGTCAGCGAGCCTGGGTTGCTGAAGACCAATTCTAACTCAGGTCTACACAGGGGAGACAAGCATGGGTTGCTGAAGACCAATTCTAACCCGGGTCTTCACAGGGGAGACAAGCATGGGTTGCTGAAGACCAATTCTAACTCGGGTCTTCACAGGGGAGACAAGCATGGGTTGCTGAAGACCAATTCTAACTCAGGTCTTCACAGGGGAGACAAGCATGGGTTGCTGAAGACCAATTCTAACTCAGGGCTTCACAGGGAAACCCACTCTACTGGCCACACTCAGCAATATTCCAGCTTTGTCACAGCGGTCTGTAAATAATCAAGTCTAGATCAGACAATCAAGTGATTGATATCATGAGCATCGATCTACACAATTGGGATACATGACATGCATCAACCAAGTCCTGACCACCCGATCCTGTTAGTGGCCTCTTACGACAAGCATAGTCGCCTCTTACGACAAGCATAGTCGCCTCTTACGACAAGCATAGTCGCCTCTTACGACAGGCATAGTCGCCTCTTACGACAAACATGGGTTGCTGAAGACCTATTCTAACCCGGATCTTTATGGGTCATATGGGGTGATGTTCTCTGTGTGAGCCTGATAGCTCGGGGTACATAAGCTAACACAGGGTACATCACACCATATACCTCTCAAGATCGGATGACAACATATTGAAAAAACAAACAAATTCTGTTTCAACCATACAATGACCCTCAACACGACATCTGACATCCTATATATCTCCAGTTAGTCTTCATGCATGCTCTGTGAGGGCAGGTGTCCAGTGATATGTGAACAGACCAACATATATATTAATGATAGGTATGTCCTTGCTGAACACATTATTTTCTTTCAATTATCCTGTGTTTGCCAAGCTGCGTTGCACACCCCATCACCTGTGCTGGCCATTTTAACAAGATAATAAAATCTCTCACTACAAATATAGCTACTGGACAGTAAAGCCACGAATATTTATAGTGACAATATGAGCAGTGATAAATGTAGATTACAGAAATAAACGAGGTCTCAACCAAAGCCTTTCCCAACATCAAGGGTTTCCCTTTCCCAGGAAAGAGCTCTAATTAGCATCCATGCAGCATATATGTTTCATACATATTATTTATGATAAGTGTATGAAAAAGGTAAGGCATTATCGACACAAGAAGTTCAGTTTTTTCCAAATGAAATTCATTTTTGACGCCAGGGACATTTGTTTTGAGTTATAAAGAGTTACTAATGGTCTGTCTCCCAGCATTATATTGTGTGTTTTTCATGTAGTCGGTGCCTGGGTACACAGTGTTTGTTCCAAGTGGAAAGTCTCATTTTAATGTCTATGTTGCATTTACAATTTGGATGATATCCCTGGGTGCTTTGTAAATGATGTGAGGAAATTAAAGGTCAAAGCTGCGTCATAGCAGCCTCCGCATCAGCCTCAAGACAATCATCAGCTACAGGACGATCTTCAGCATGTCTTCAACATAGCAAGGAAAGATTAACTGATTTTTTAATTGATGTCAATTTATTTATTCTTTTTATATTTTTTTAAAGCCATTAATCAAAGAATAAAGACAGAATAAATCACTTTCTGATACATTTTTTGTCATTTCCATTTTTGGGGACATCAGATCTATAAGGTATCCCTAATAACAGAATCAGTTATAGTGAAGTGCAAGTATATTTCAGTAAGGCCAGGCCCAAATACTGTAGACACTTGGAATGTACATAGCATTGTGGCACAAAAACAGTAGGTAAATAGGTAAAATTTGTGAATATTATTATACTGGTGAAGAGCATGGTAATAATGTGCATATCTAAAATGCACCAAATCCACCCTCTAAACATCTTCCCGAGGCAAGAGAGTTAACAGACTAAAAAAGTCCAGTTTCCACCCTTGCCGAACTGGGCTGGTGTTATGGAGTTAGATTTTAGCTGGACTAATGAGTCTATGCATAGTCCAATCAAAATCGTGCAAGGAAATCGAAATCATTCAGATGTCGGTCGATTGCAGGATTTGCAAAGCATGAGCACCACCAACTCGTTGTCAACAGATATTTTCCAAATCTTTTCATGTTTTTAATCTAGGTGCTCACATGGTTTGATTCACTTCATGATGTAAGACCCATTTTATCACAATATAAATCATGATTATCGGTCAGATCGTCTTGACTGGTTGCCACCATTTTGTTTGAAGCAAATGCAAGTGATACGATAGGTGGAATCTGATTGGTCCATAGGAGAGGCATAGTAATAACCACTGGTGGCGCTACGATCGAGCCTAGGAATTCAAGCCTAGTTTGGCAAGGGTGGAAACTGGACTTTTAAAGTCAGTTAACTCTCTTGCCTCGGGAAGATGTCCTCTAAAGAGTGCTCAAAGCACTGTTACCCTGGTCAAAGGATCAGTGTACACTTGATTTTCATTCTAAGCTCCCGGGGGACTGCATAGAGTCATGGTTTACATATAAAGACAGGGTTCCATTGGTTGAACATTGGAGTACAATACTGAGGAAATCAGTATAAATTAATACAAATTAATAAAATTAAAATTTGAAATCGATCTTTGTCTCTAATACAATCATAATTTGGATATGCCAACGTGAAGTGGATCACATCTTTGTTTTCTTATATTCTTCATAATTTGTAATTCTCCAATTCTATATACTATTAAATATCTTCTTTGATGCTTAAGGTGTATAGCAAATATGATATAATATCAGATGTTGTCTTTAGAGTTTATTAAATCTATGTAAGGAAGAACAAACATGTTTCTGGTGCTGGCTTTTTTTATGTACCATTGTATTCCAAGAATAAGAGTTGTTTCCTTAGCAACCATGATGTCAAAATGGGTCAAATAAGTCAGACACAAATTAAGCAAAATGAACACAAAATGATACTTTAGGCCGGCGGAGTTATTGAATTTTGTAGATTTACTGAGAAAAAGCAATCTGCAGAATCATAGCAAAAAAGATTGCTACATGATAGGACTACATATTTGCATGACAGGAAGACTTAAAATTATTTAAAAAATGTTTTGGAGGTGGGTCTTGTATCTTCATTGTGAAGGGTGTTACAAGGGGGCTGTATCATTGCTGTAACAGCAACCTACTTGTGTGCATGCAGTTGTTCTATTCACCTCCCACAAGAAACAGTGTGGATGGTGGAACAGTGTGGATGATGGAACAGTGTGGATGATGGAACAGTGTGGATAGTGGAACATTTGTGGATGGTGGAACAGTGTGGATGGTGGAACAGTGTGGATGATGGGACAGTGTGGATGGTTGAGTAATGTGGATGGTGGAACAGTGTGGATGATGGTGGAACAGTGTGGCTGATGGTGGAACAGTGTGAATGATGGAACAGTGTGGATGATGGTGGAACAGTGTGGATGATGGTGGAACAGTGTGGATGCTGGAACAGTGTGGATGATGGAACAGTGTGGATGATGGTGGAACAGTGTGGATGATGGTGGAACAGTGTGGATGATGGAACAGTGTGGATGATGGAACAGTGTGGATGATGGTGGAACAGTGTAGATGATGGTGGAACAGTGTGGATGATGGAACAGTGTGGATGGTGGAACAGTGTAGATGGTGGAACAGTGTGGATGATGGAACAGTGTGGATGATGGTGGAACAGTGTGGATGATGGAACAGTGTGGATGATGGAACAGTGAGGCTGATGATGGAACAGTGTGGATGATGGTGGAACAGTGTAGATGATGGTGGAACAGTGTAGATGATGGTGGAACAGTGTGGATGGTGGAACAGTGTGGATGATGGAACAATGTGGATGATGGTGGAACAGTGTGGATGATGGTGGAACAGTGTAGATGATGGAACAGTGTAGATGATGGTGGAACAGTGTGGATGATGGAACAGTGTGGATGGTGGAACAGTGTGGATGATGGAACAGTGTGGATGGTGGAACAGTGTGGATGATGGAACAGTGTGGATGGTGGAACAGTGTGGATGATGGAACAGTGTGGATGATGGTGGAACAGTGTGGATGATGGAACAGTGTGGATGATGGAACAGTGTGGATGATGGAACAGTGTGGATGGTGGAACAGTGTGGATGATGGAACAGTGTGGATGGTGGAACAGTGTGGATGATGGAACAGTGTGGATGGTGGAACAGTGTGGATGATGGAACAGTGTGGATGGTGGAACAGTGTGGATGCTGGAACAGTGTGGATGATGGAACAGTGTGGATGATGGTGGAACAGTGTGTGGATGGTGGAACAGTGTGGATGATGGAACAGTGTGGAACAGTGGAACAGTGTGGATGATGGTGGAACAGTGTAGATGATGATGGAACAGTGTGGATGATGGAACAGTGTGGATGGTGGAACAGTGTGGATGGTGGAACAGTGTGGATGATGGTTCTGACGAAAAAGCAATAGACAGCAATTGAAAGTGATATCAAATATTTATGCAATGTCAGCAGTATTGGTATAGACGGCTATATGAAGCTTAAACTGTGCTTGCCTATTCTTTCTGATACCACCCATACATATTTCAAAAAGGGCATCAGCATCGAGTTGCCACTTATTGCTATCTTACCCTGATATGTGCGCTTCACTTCTCATCTATGAATGCCTAAAACTGCTAGGCAAAGGTGAAGGTCAGATACAATATACAGCCCAATAGATTCAATAAACTCAGTTGTCAAGAAGGTGATCGTATCCTACACTCAGATAGAGATGCATCACAGTCAGGAAGGCGATCACTGCCTTCACTCAGATAGAGATGCATCACAGTCAGGAGGGTGATCATTGCCTTATCTCAGATAGAGATGCATCACAGTCAGGAGGGTGATCATTGCCTTCACTCAGATAGAGATGCATCACAGTCAGGAAGGCGATCACTGCCTTCACTCAGATATAGATGCATCACAGTCAGGAAGGTGATCATTGCCTTCACTCAGATAGAGATGCATCACAGACAGGAGGGTGATCATTGCCTTCACCCAGATAGAGATGCATCACAGTCCGGAAGGTGATCATTGCCTTCACTCAGATAGAGATGCATCACAGTCAGGAGGGTGATCATTGCCTTCACTCAGATAGAGATGCATCACAGCCAGGAAGACGATCACTGCCTTCACTCAGATAGAGATGCATCACAGTCAGGAAAGTGACCCTTTGCCAATGATATGTCACAAGTCCACAAGGATATGTCACAAGTCCCTGAACTGTGCTGAACTTGCATTAGCGGACTTGTCAGTTTGTACCCTGCTGTGGAGGTGGATATATGGATGTAGCTGCACTTACACCCAGAACCTAATGTAACCATTGGATCCCTCTCTCCATCAGCATCTTCTGTTCATCACACTGCATGGCCTCAATATCTTTGTTTATCTTTGTTGCACTATTCCAACCATATGACGGCGATCTGTAAATAATCAAGTCTGGACCAGACAATCCAGTGACTGACATCATGAGCATTGATCTACGCATTTGTTATATGATGACATGCATTGACAAAGTCAGTAGGTCTGATCACGCGGTCCCATTAGTTGCCTGTTACAACAAGCATGGGTTGCTGAAGACCAAGTCTAACCCAGATTTTACAGGACCACCTTTGGGTCTAGTGGTAGAGCTTCTGCCCAGATCCCCACCCGCTTCATACCCAAAGATGGTACTTGTTGATACCCTGTCTGGCTCTCAGCATTAAAGGGCTAAAACAAGGAATGGTCAGCTCGGAGTCAGTATACTGTGTCTGAGTGGTGTATTCATGTAAAACTGCAGCATGGTACCTCAGTGGGCTAGCACTATCAATCGGCATCAGTCTGGACTAGTACAAGCAGCCACACACACACGTACGTGCATGTGCATCGCTATATAACTGCGATAATCTTGGATGCGACATTAAACCCCATTTCACCTCACCTCACCTCACCTCACCTCTTCACAGGATCCTTAGAATCTAGTTGTATCAGTTCTCACAGTGAGCGGCGATGCCCTGCATACCTACTGCAATAGCCATTAAACGTTTGTAGATGTCACACACCACTGATCAACCTGGGGATAAATCTTATCAAACATCATGTAGCCACCGGTTAAATATGTTTTCAGTGTAGGTGTTGATGCAAACAAGATGATTAAGAGTTTTGTCTCTAAGCTAGGCAAGCCCCATGTTGTCTGTGGTTATTCATGGAACAGGCCTGAAGTTGTAGATAGGAAACTGATTCACTTGGCATGCTAGGTCTCTAGATCTAAAGACAGCAGTTCACATCATACCAATGTAGTTTTCTCAATCTAAATTTCACTATTTGCATCTAGAACTTAAGAAAGCACTTCTCTTCCAACCAATGTAGTTTTCCAAATATAAATTTCACTAATTGAATCTAGAACTTAAGAAAGCAGTTCACATCATACCAATGTGGTTTTCCAAATCTAAATTTCACTAATTGAATCTGGATTTAAAGACAGCAGTTCACTTCATACCAATGTGGTTTTCCAAATCTAAAGTTCACTAATTGAATCTGGATTTAAAGACAGCAGTTCACATCACTCCAATGTAGTTTTCCAAATCTTAATTTCACTAATTGAATCTGGATTTAAAGACAGCAGTTCACTTCATACCAATGTGGTTTTCCAAATCTAAATTTCACTAATTGAATCTGGATTTAAAAACAGCAGTTCACATCATACCAATGTGGTTTTCCAAATCTAAATTTCACTAATTGAATCTGGATTTAAAGACAGGAGTTCACATCATACCAATGTGGTTTTCCAAATCTAAATTTCACAAATTGAATCTGGATTTAAAAACAGCAGTTCACATCATACCAATGTGGTTTTCCAAATCTAAATTTCACTAATTGAATCTGGATTTAAAGACAGCAGTTCACTTCATACCAATGTGGTTTTCCAAATCTTAAGTTCACTAATTGAATCTGGATTTAAAGACAGCAGTTCACATCACTCCAATGTAGTTTTCCAAATCTAAATTTCACTAATTGAATCTGGATTTAAAGACAGCAGTTCACTTCATACCAATGTGGTTTTCCAAAACTAAAGTTCACTAATTGAATCTGGATTCATAGACAGCAGTTCACATCATACCAATGTAGTTTTCCAAATCTAAATTTCACTAATTGAATCTGGATTTAAAGACAGCAGTTCACTTCATACCAATGTGGTTTTCCAAATCTAAATTTCACTAATTGAATCTGGATATAAAGACAGCAGTTCACATCATACCAATGTGGTTTTCCAAATCTAAATTTCAATAATTGAATCTGGATTTAAAGACAGCAGTTCACATTATACCAATGAAGTTTTCCAAATCTAAAGTTCACTATTTGCACCTGGAACTTCATACAAAGGTAGTTTTCTCAATCAAAATTTCATTATTTGCATCTAGAACTTAAGAAAGCAGTTTGCTTCCAACCTATGTCTAAATTTCACTAATTGAATCTAGATCAAAAGACAGCAGTTCACATCATACCAATGTGGTTTTCCAAATATAATTTTCACTATTTGCATCTGGAACTTAAGAAAGCAATTCACTTCATACCATTGTAGTTTCCTGAATCCATATTTCACTATTTGCATCTGGAACTGGGGATACAGCAGTCACCAATCTAAGTTTCACTCATATTTTGCATACTGAACTTAATAATTAGAGTTAAACATAAAATGTTTAGCCATATTTCAGTTGTGCGTCTGGTGGTTTGGTAGTTTAAGCATGCCATGCTTAGACCTAGGTGAGATTCTTCATCTGGGTATATACAATGTGCGAAGTATATATTCAGTTTCTCCAGAACATGAAATTTCTGCACTTTTGCTAAATAACTTGTATTACTGGTTTTCTTAGGTGCATCTGTAGTCCAACACCATGACAGTGGAATATATTTATTTTATGAAAAATAACCACAATCTAGATATGTATACAAAAGCATGTACAGCCAGCACTAGCTAGCTCTATTCCATATATGTTTAGTCTATGAAATCAGCATCAAATTATTTGTTTAATTTTAGAGGCGAGAAGAGTATTGCGTAATATAAGATTTCATAGACTAAATGTTAGTCTGGTGTATCTGTACTTCCAGGAATCAGGAATCTATGGCGATTTACCGATTTATGAATGCCGACAGATGGAGAATTCCAGGTTTGACAAAGTGGACATATTGGCTCAGGCTAAACCAGAGCATCAGAAACCAGACCCGACAAAATACTCCCTGACATTCTTAAATCATTAATTAGCACAAAGGATGACTGGGAAGTGAGTGGTTATTTCACCAATAAAGCCACATAATCACATGTGGAAGCAAAGTTCTGGTGGCATTTTAATTTGTGACAAGACAGGCAAGCCTCAGTGTAGACCAAGGTAGTTTGAATTATTGATAAATCCCCCATGATTGGATTTCGTGAGTTGGCCAGGCCTCAAGCTTTCACTGAGTCTGTTTGCTGACTTAGGCATATTGATCCCTATAGTCCCTGCACAATATCCATCGGAATAACTCCATTCTACAATCTTAAATTTAAGGGATACCCTCTCAAATTTAATCTTACTATATTGGATTTAATATTTCAAATATTGACAGTCGTAGCTACATGAAAATATTCCAACAATTCAATTTTGAAAGCATCACAGGAAGAAGCCATCATTCAAATGTTTTCCATAGTAACAGATCAATATTTGACACTTGGGGTTCTAGCATACCAATATCAATATTACTTTATTATATTGAAACTGCTTCGTGTCGCACGCACAAACATTCCTTCAAGATTAATGCCAAGATAAATTATTTCTTTACAAATGTAATTGCTGTTTTTTCTAAGTCATTTTAAAAACACATATGTTATACATATTGTTTAACTAGCGATCGTAAAATAAGGCCATTATTTGACAGAGGACATAAATTCACATACAGAACCATCCACTCTGCACCTCATTGCAATTAAGTGATGATATATCAAGGAAAGTTTGAATGTTTTAAAACTAAACTAAGATCATAGCTGGGCAAATATGTGTTTTTTCTTGATTTTCCTCCTGATTCCGACTTTAGGTATCCGTCCCTGATCCTCCCAGTACAAGACACTGACATATTTATGTCCCGGGGGCATTATGTAAGCATTACATGCTTGTGTTGAATGTATGCCAGTCTGCGAGGTGTGAAACCTGCGAGGTCTGCGGTCTCCGGTACCTGCCATGAGGAATTGGTACGGAATTGGAAGAATGGACATCCTTGTTCTCCCGACTCAACACAAGGGGAAACCTTCTGTTTTACAAGTGTACAGTATTCATGCCGAAGATTGAACAAGGAGACCAAGAGGCCGACATGTCTCAGACCTGCAGTAAGCATAGGTGACTGGAAAAACTAAATTAAAAGTAACATTTCCACAATCATAAGAAATCTCTGCTAAAAGTCCATCGTACGATTCTGACTAGATCTTAAGTATGAATCACTATCAAATAGTGATCGAACCAGGTATTTACGAAAATGTGAATGCATCACACAATTGACTTGCCTTGGCATGTGTTTGTGACACATGCCAAGGCAAGTCAATTGTTCACCTGAAGAAACATGGGAAAGTATTGTACAATTCAAAATAGGGAACTGCATCTGGCATAATTT